CAGACAACATTTCCACAGTTATTCATCATTTTAAGGTGCTCAGAGAGGGACTGGATGGATACCAGCACCCGCATCTCCTAAGCCCTCTGCGAGAAGGGGCACGAGAACCGGAAATCTCCCCACCGTTGTCAGCAGTTGAGGACATTGTTGGGATTAGCCTAGAAGATCATGTGGCAAGAGATTCAAACTCTCCTGTTCTGGAAGTGCTGGGAAGAAATACTCCAACAATACATGATGAGGAACACCCAGTTACAGAACCCATAGAAGTAGGAAAGGCTCATAAAGACGACAACAGTGATTTAAAGGTGCCATCTGTCCAAGATGAGCCTGAACTGATCCACAAACCTGTTGCCTTTGACCTCCTACCCCTGATGTATGAAGTTGCGACTGTGACTAAAGAAAAAAATGTGTCGGTGCTTAACCAGTCCTGTACCGGAGTTCTTGAACTGTCAAACTGCTACGCCCAGGCAGCGAAGGAAAGCTTAGTCATTGTTGACGCCATCGATGGTCAGACCCTGGAAAGTTTCAGGGCAGAGCTGGTGTCACTGACTCCGCTGCTCGTCCAAACAGCGCAGGAGATGGCAATGAGTTCATCCATGAGCAGTGAAAACATCTACAAGCACTGCACACAGTTTTCTGACCTCATCGGCATGATGAAAAAGGTTTTACTGCCGGCAGCTGGAACGTGGTACCATGCTGCCTACGCTGAACTGCAAGGAAATCTGCAAGCTACAGCACCCAGTGTTGCACACAACCTGAATGACGTGATGACTTTATGTGCTCATGTCGTACAGTCCTTGACATCGTCTGATTTAAACGTGCAGACCGACGGTCAGGAAATGGTCAGCGTTTTACACAGCAAGCTGAACAAAGCCCAGAACAACACAAGGCGTCTCGTAGAGTTTTGCTCCTTGACGGGAAGACGGGTAGACCAGCTTGACGGTCTCTGCATCCTCTGGGGCCTCTCTATTCAGATTTTGTTAAATTCTCTGGATAGGATTTTAGGCACCTCAACTGCAACTGTGCACCGTTGGAATCCTCAGAAACAGATGTTGGCACTGTCTGAGAACTCGCTCCGGGTCCAAGAGGCTGCGAGGCTCACCGGCTTAAACTGCAAAAGTGCTCACAACTTAAAACAGCTGGCAGGTGAACAAGATGAGTTAAAAGCACTGACTGACGAGTATCTTAAAGCTGCTGAGGAGCTCGACGTAATGCCGAGTGTGATGCAACTTGCAAAATCAGAATTCCTTCAGAGACAGCTTCTCATTAAAATTAGAGCACTCTCTGCTCTGTTACGTAAAGCGAATAAAGACTACGATGCTGCGCTTCAAAACGTAGTCAGCCTCGCTTATGTCGCTGCAGAACATGTGAGAGATTCTGATGCAGAAGATTGGAAGCAAAAGTTTGAAAACACAGCCCGAACGCTAGCGGAGAATATCAAATCTGCATCCGGAAGAGTGGACGACTGCTTGAACTTCATCCGTGACCCACGCGCCCGCTCTAACTTGAGGTCTATCAACGACCACCTGTCGTTTCAGATTTCAGATATCATCAGCAGGGCGAGGCTCGTGGTGGAGACGCGCTTCATTTGTGACACGCTCAGTTTGGACGTGTTGATACAGTGCTGGGCAGCCAAAGCTCGGTATGTGGTGGAGGAGATCATGAAGCAAGATGGGATTCACAAGGAGGTCAAAGAGAGCATCATAGCCGGTTTACAAGGCAGAGCACCCGGGGACTTCGATAAAACATTTGGTTTGATCCCTAGAATCAAAGAAGTGGAACTTCCCGATGCAAATGCATCCACTCTGCAGAAAGGACACACAGAAACCATAGAGGCTGCAGAAACCAAAGTGCACATGGCAGCCGTGGCAAAGTATGAACCTAAAACTGTGAGAAGAGATGTAAGTATAGCTGATGATAAGAAGTTACAGTTGGCTTCATGTGCTGGTAAATCATGCTCAGACTTTTCTCTACAGGATGCATCTGATGTGTATAAAGAAGCCTCCTCACTGACCCTCACCTCCCTTTTTCTGAAGAAGAAGAGCAACACCTGGGATCCCAAAGACAACAGAATAGTCCAGGTGACCAGGAAGATGGCAGAAACAATTTGTCACATGACACACTATCTGAAGAAGAGAGGCCCAATTCTGGTAATGACCACCAGAGGTCACTTGACTACAGTGGTCTTTAAGCAAGGCAGCCATGTTTATTTATTTCTCTTTTAGACTAAGGAAGCATTTGTTGCTGCTGCTAAAGATGTTCTCACCAACTGCCAGTCGGTCACTCAGTTCCTCAGCATTATCGCCAACCACAGCCAGGATAAACAGTGCACGGCTGAACTCTCCCTCATCATTGAACAGATTCTAACCATCACTAACCAGCTCAGCATCATCTCCAGGTTGAGTAACCTTTAATTATGTAATAAATACTATACAATATATATATATATATATATATATATATATATATAGTTTTATTTTTTTCACTGTTTTCTTTGTGTTTAGTGTGAATGCTGTGACTCCCGGGTGCAAATCATCGGATGAGATCCTGATAAAGAACTCTCAAAATCTCCTTCAGACAGTACTGCGTGGGGTCCACGCTGCAGAAACGGCCTGCATCACAGTAAATATGTCGTCACAATTTTACTCTGAAACTTTTTGAGGTCTTTGTTGTGTACAAATTTATTGCACAGCGCTTAAACATTAGTCAGTGTTTTAGAGAACTAACGCAAAAATAATGAGGACAATATTATCCATCGGTGCAGCTGTGAGTGGTCAAAGAAGTATCTGAACTGTTGTTCATGTCATGTGGCCCCTTTAAATGTAAGTGATCATTCCATCAACTTAGTGAAATGTCACCCCTTTCCTCTGAACTCATGGAAGAGCGTGGGTGAGTAAGTGGGACAACTACAGCTTCAGGACATTGGCGGTTTTCCTCGCTCTCTCCATATCTGAATTTATTTTAGATTAAGGTCAGACTTGACACATCTGTCCTAAAACATTAACTTATTTCATCTTCATTCAGTCATTGTTAAAATAGTGAGTGCTCTTGTTTCTTTAGGTGTTCTTATGCATTGTGATGGCTTGTTCTAGTGTAGCAAGGCAGGCCCAAACTACTACACTACTACCACCATGTTTCACAGTTGTCTTATTGCATATGTGGCCTAATTTTTGACAACACAATTACAAGTAAAGTTAGCTAAGCATCAAACCTGACTATTTAAGTTGAGGCAGGTGCCACATAAACTGTCAGATCCCATTTCTGATTCAAACACATCATTACCCCTTCAACTTGAATTAGCATCAGCTCTTTTCATTCATAATAATTATCCAATAAGAGTGAAAATGCCTCAGACTGGACTGATAAATTCTGGTATAAACAGAATTGAATTTTAATTCTGTTCAGAGGGAAGGGCGTAAACATGTAATTTTAAACTTGTAAACTCTTAATTTGCTCCTTGAGAATCTTAAGAAAAAAAAGACTGATTTTTTGGGGGGACCTTCTACCATTCTTGATAGAGAAGAGCAACTTTTGTTCATCAATTCCACTTTTTCCTCACTTATTTGTGGTAAGGTCACAAGGCCAGCAGATCAAGGAGGAAAGCCCAGTCGTCACTCCTTCCTGCGAGATTTTCCACTTTCTTCTGGATAATCCCGAGGTATTCCCAGATCAGAAACAAATGTAAGATCTCTCCAGCTCCAAACCATAAAACTACCACTGCAGGGTAACGATATTCTTCACGTCACTCAGATGTCATTGTATTACAGCAAGGGGAACGTCTGTTCTCATTTGTCCGTTTAATCCAAGACCCGCAAAAACTTGATGAATGAGTTCACGTTTTTTTTTTTTTTTTTTTGCATGAACATGGAAAATTCTAGCTTCAAAGTTTCAGAAGTCACTTTCAGATAAAGCTGCAACTATTACATCCTGTTTTCCGACGTTTCAAAGCTCTCAAGCCTTGGATTCTGTTGTGAACTTTTTCAGGGTCTGAAGCAGCCTGAGCCCAACTCGGACGGTGAGGAAGCCACGGCCTTGTGTTTCCAGTGGAAGAGGAACCTGGAGATGTATCGAGCCCGGCAGACCTCTAATCCAGAAACCGACGAGCTCGGTTTAAGGAAGACCTCATCGCACGCTTTAGCTCCCAGTCTCGCCCCCCAGGTCAACGTCTAGAAAAGCAGTAGAGCTTACTGTACCTTCGAAACAAACTAAATTGTGTTGATGATATTCATGAAATATTATAGATCGTATACGGTAATCTTAATAGCACTTAATATAGGACAACAAATATATGCCAGGATGAAGAACAGTTGTTTTTTCACTTCTTTAGTCCATATATTTATAATAAAAATCACATAAACGATGAACACGTTTTTAAAAATGCCATGTAGTATTAAAACACTTGGGCTGCGTTACAGCTACACACTGGCATGGCAGAAATAAAGCATGACTGTATGCACTAAAACACACTGTACAAAATGCACATTTAAAAAGTGAAACATGAACGCTGTAAAAAAAATAAAAAATAGCTTATTTTTAGGCAAACGAAATCAGCTTGCATTACAGACAAACTGTTACTTGAAATGCCAGGAACACAGTCTTCAGAGCTTTAAATACAGTTTACACAAACAAGTCAACAGAAACTGTATTAAAAGCCGTATTTGTTGCATATGTACATACTGTATACCTGCAATGCCATTAAGGCAGCACCTCTGTCTGAAGAGCGCACGCAGAAACTTTCCTTGTTATGAACATAGTTGTATATTTTTTAGCCTCATCGGTTACTTTTTTTTTAAAAATGGCACAAACTTTCAGCTGATAGAAACCGTTCACTTCAAAACTTTTGAAGCACTTACAACAAAGTGTGAGAATAAATACCACCATCTGTCTGTGTGTACTAAGACTGAATACTTGCATATAAAAAAGATGTAAAAAAAAAAAAGGTGAAAAATGACACAATAATAAAATACCTTAACATAACTGCATGCAAATCCTCTGTTTCTTCCCTCACAATAATCTGCAAACTGACAAAAGTGTGGTTTGATGACCTATACAGGATTATGTACAGAAATAAATAAAAGCATAAAATGTTAAATTACTGAACAGGTTCCAACAGTTTACAAACTCCACGTTTAGTTTTTGTTTCCTCTGAAGCGTTTACTGACAGAAAGGAGACGCAGTGGGGTCAAAAGTCTTGAATACGTCTTTAAGTGTCCGGTCTGCCTCCTCTAGATCTTTCTGTTTTGCTTCTTCCTCCTTTACTTCCTCCTCTTCTTCCATCTCTCTGTCCGGCTCCTGTTTGACCTCCATTTCCTCCTGTGCTCCAGCAGAGCCTTGTCCTCCTTGCTTGGCCTGCCTGGGGTCGGAGTACTGAGGCCGGATCAGTCCAGCCAGCGCTGGGATGGGGAGATTATGAACAGCGGGGGGTTTGACAGGTGAGGCGGGGGGCACTGTGGGAGAAGCAGGAGGAGAAGCCTGATGTGAGGAGACCTCTGTGCTTGTGGCCTCATCAAAAGAAGCACTTTGCTTGATGGGTGAAAGTGACGCTGCGGGAGCGTTCTCACTTTTAGACGGCTGTTTCAGAATCCCCGCCTTTTTAGGAGGCTCCCCCTGCTCCTTCTGAGCATGCTCAGTTTGAGAGCGAGGATCGTACAGACTGATGCCCCCGAGTATCGTAGTAGGGCTCTCCAGACCTCCATCAGAAGAAGCCAGTCGGGGGGCGTATGGCGGCAGCTTCTCGGGTTCTGGTTTTCCTCGAGGGGAGGAGCTGGCGCTGGCTTTCTGTAGTCTGGGGTCCACCGGTCCACCTGATGAGGGCTCTTTCTGACCCAGCAGCTTGGAGTCCAGACTCCCTCTACGTTTCAGTCTGGGGTCAAGAGATTTTTGCTGGCGTGGATCTACCGGTCTTTCCGTTGGGGATCGAGACTCCAAGGATCCAGCAGGGAAACGGTTCAAACGCTCCTTCAAACGGGCCGCTGCGAGTCTGGGGTCTGACGGTGGAGGGCTGGAAACCGCTACGTGGTCGGGCAGGTTTGTTCGGTTCATCTGAGCGTCGGCAATAAGGGGTGGAAGAGGCAGGTTAATGGAGTGCTCCTGTTTGGGGATAAGGGAAGGAATAAGATCCTCAGGCGCCCAAACCACAGTCTGAGCGAAGGAGGGCCTCTGGAGGAGGATGTCCACCCGGATGTGACTGAACTGCTTTAACTGACAACGAGGGTCCCGCAGCACCGCCCCGGGGCTGGCATCTAACGGGATAAGTACAGTTCTGTCCCTGAGCTCCCGCTCCCCTTCATCCTCCTCCTCGCCTGTTGGAGGCTTTTGTGGAACAGGATGGTTCGGCAGGCGATAGGAACCAGATTCAGCCGGTCTCAACTTCCTGGGGTCTCTGGAGAACCGTGGATCTGCAGCTCCGTCCGACTCCTTGCCGACATCTGAGAGTCGCTGTCTAGGGTCCGGCTTCATTCGCGGGTCACATGGCGGTGACTTAAGAAGCCGAGGGTCGCTCAGTGCTGGAGCCCCCGGCACAACCTGGAGGGGCTTGGACTGACTCTTCTGCATTTCACTGTGTTTCTTCAGAGACTTGAGAATGGAGGAAACACAGGAGCTCCCATCCTCCTCATCACTTGAGTACCAGTTTGTAGTTTCATCTGCAATGAAGAGTAGCGTTTAGAAGTTATCTGAAAATCAATCATGAAGCTCGTTTCTGCAAATCCTTCCCCCCAGACCAGGGGGCTGGAACCTTTACGATCAAAAGAGCCATTTTACACCTTCGTTCACTAAATTAAGTGTTCAGAGCTGCAACATTGATAACTGTGGTTATCAATTGGTGGCCCATGGGCCACTTTAGGTTTGTTGGAAGGGGCTTTTGTGGCCACTAGGGGTGACATTATAAAGATAAAATAACTAATAATTTATATTTTTACAATTTAAGACAAATGAAAAGATCAGATTCTTTTAAAGAGAGGTTTTTTTTTTTTTTATGAATACAAACTATGAACTATGCAGACCTAGGTACTTTTTTTAATTGTGGAAAAATTAATTAAGTATAGAAATGAAGCATAAAGTGAAAGTGAATATGTTTTACTCCTTGTACTGGTTCCAGTATTCACATGTTTGCAAAAGAAATGACGGGAAAATTGATAAAAACTAGTCGTTTTTTGTTGTTTGTACAACCAGTAATATTCAGTTTTATGTCAGTTTTGGTCAAAGCTTGAAAGCGCCGCATGTCGCCCCAGAGCTGCAGGTTGCAGAACCCCCTGCCCTAGACAATGCTCTTCTTTAAAAAAAGTTTTGTCGTTTTTTTTCTTGTACAAATTAATCCAGTTCTTGACAATCAGCTATAATGACCCAGCTGTTTTTTTTTTTAATATATATATCATTTTCTTTAACTTGTTCTTCTCAATTTGTACGCTTCCTTTTATGATTGTCCACTGTTGTCATCATTCTTTGTTAAAATCAGGTCTCTCTTGTAAATGAGTCCCCGAGGCTCAATGGGACTAACCTGCATAAATAAAGGTTGAATGAATGAATCATCACCTTTATTTTCATGATCATCGTGGTCCTCTGCACTGCGCGACTCTTTCCCCTGTGGTTCTTGCTGCTGCTGCTGCTGCGTTAGGTGCAGGAAGATGGCTTTCTGCACTTCTGCTGGCAAAGACTTTAACTGTGACTCTGCGCCCAACTGCTGCTGGAGGTTCTGCACAAAGGCCAGAGCAGGATCTACAAGAAAACACGCTGTCAGTAACATGTTCTACACAATAAACCTATTCAAGGAGTTCAGATGTTACTCACCTCCCTGTTGACTGACGGCCTGATTTTGTACAAAGCTGCTAAAGAACTCCGCTGGGTTCTGACTCATAGACTGAAAAGGCAACATATTTTGCAACATATGCAGATCTGGAGGGAATGGAGGCCTCTGCATGTTCATCTGTTGGCTGATGGGTATGTGAAAAGGTGGGGGTGGACCAGAGGGAGCTGGTGGCTGCATTTGATATCCATGAAGTGGGTGCTGTCCTGCGGGACTCTGCTGCATGGGTGGTCCCATAAGAACAGGGGATTCAGGAGGAGGAATTGGAGGTGGAGCTGAGGGTGCGGTGGATCCGATCTGTGCATCCTCTGCATCTCCGCTAAACTGCTCCGTTCCATCACCTTCATTCTGTGAGTAGCTGGTGCCACTGAAATATAAAAATGATTGTAATATTTGGAGTACGATCTGAGCACTCCTTGTAGCTTTCATTAAGGATCATGTTGGTTACCTCTGAGCAATTTTTTGTACCAAATCCACAGTAGGTTGAACCTTGATTTCAAACAGAGAGGGAATCTTCTTGTTTCCATCTGTCGGGCTGCTCTGACCAGGAGTAGGCAGCAACCCCACTCCAGGTGGAGGTTTGGGAAGAGGGGCAATACCCTGTTTTCTCAAATCCTCCAGCTCTAACTCATCCTCACGGGCATTCTCCTCCTCGGTGTTGATTATCTATCCAACAAATCAAAAAGAAGTCGTAAAAAACACTGATGAGCATATGAGCCGAAAACAAAAACCTGAGTTTCTATGTTCTACCTTTTCAAGCAGCTCTTTCGTCACATCATTCAAAGCATCATGGGAGAACTTGCAGTTGTCTCCTTGATAACATTTGGCTCCAGTGTGAAAGAACTTGCAGGGGTATTCATGTACAAACACAGGTTAAGGAGCCAGGATGTTGTGTTTAAAGTTAATCATGCAACGTCTTTTATAAAAGCATCACTTGGTGAAGGATATTGTGCATGTAAATGCAGTGATCTCCTTTGCTGCAGTATCCTTGAAGGTAAAACTTACAAAGTTCCTTTTTCTTATCAGGTATCACGAGTTCGTGTTCAAATTTGCATTGTTCTCCCTGTGAGAAAACAAAACGTATTTTAATATAGTAGTCCCTCGTTTATCGCGAAGGATCCATACCCTGGAGCCCTGCGATAAGTGAAAACCCACAATAAACAATGTTTCTAAACTCTAAACGCTCTAAAAGAGCACAGAATATCATGATTACAGCTCTGTGCTTCAGATGCGCTTGGCCACGCCCACTTCTCCGCTCTGCATGGCGAACAGCTGATCAGCTGCAGGAGGAAGCTTATCCTGCAGTATGGGCTGCACAAAGGTGCAGCAAATAAAAATTCCATGACGATCGTGCGGCTCATCCATCAATCAGCCAACTGTGTTGCATGTCCAATCTTATTTTGAAAAACCGCGACAGAGCGGGTCCGCGATAAACGAACAGCCAAGTAGCGAGAGACTACTGTATAGGGCGGCACGGTGCAGTAGAGGTTAGAGCTGTCGCCTCAGTGAGAAGATCGTAGGATCGCCCTCTGGCCTGAGGGCTCTCCCAGTGGAGTTTACATGTTCTCCCTGTATACTTTTTCCAGGTATTCTGGTTTCTCCCCACAGACCAAACACGTTAGCTTAAACTGGTAACTCTAAATGGTTGCTGAGTGCGTTTGAGAGTGTGATTGTTTGTCTTATGCGCTATGCAATGGACTTCTGAACTCTGCAGGGTGTGCCCCGCCCCTCGTACAGTGACCGTTGGAGATTGGCACCAGCCTCTCGCAACCCAAAAAGAAAAAGCGAATAAAGAGAACGAATGGAAGGAGCTTTTCATCTGATAGAGAAGCTAAAGTAGAAGAAACTCATTAGCATTATGCTGCTGTACCTTAATGCAGCGACCCTCCAAGAAGTACTTGCAGATGTATCTTCCATTGTGTTCTACGGTATGCTGGTTGATGAACTCCTTGCTCATAATTGGCCGTTTCTTCTGAAAGCCAGAGATTTTTCCATCCTGTGACACAAAACAACCATCTCAGATTAATTACGACATTGGTTGCAGGGTGTCCCTCTGCATGAAAGGCAACCTCATTCTGAAAGTACTGTCTCTGTAAAGTGGAAAAGCTACAGTGTATGTGCCAAAAGTCTGCCTAAGTTTATGGGGACATACTCACTTGTCCCATGTCTTCACCTCCGTCTCCTCCTCGACCCCGCCCACGTCCCACCACCCAGGGTTTGCCTTTAAACTTCTTGATCTTGTTGAGCATCCCACGTCCTCTTCCTGGTCCATTACCTCGGCCCCGTCCTCTCAGTCCAACTAAAAAAAAAAAAATACAAGCACAACTCTGATTTTTTAATCACAGCCCATCTAGTCCCATTGAAGAAAACATTAGAATCCACAGTGAACTAAGTTGAAGTACAGGAAATGTGTTTTTTATTCGAAAGTGAGTCATACACTGTTGATGCTTCATCCCTCTCATGCTTCCTCGGATCATCTGGTCTTTGGAGTGGCGTCCTTTCCCCTGACTGGAGTCTTTGGGTGGTTGATACTCAGACATGTCGTCTTCGTAATCGTCCTCCTCTTCATCGTAGTCGTACTTGTCGTCGCTGTAGTCGTCGCTGTATTTGTCAAAATCGCTGCTCTTCTGCGGCGACAACTTTCTGAAGCCGCCGTGGATTTTCTTCGAGTGCTGTCGGCCAAACAAAAAGAGAAAAATATTGTCCCGCAGTCATTCTTACGTTTTCCTGAATGCAGCAGCGAAGGACAACCCACCTGAGAGGACTGGACGTCAGACGCACGACCATATCCCTGACTCTTCCTGTTTATGGGCCTTTCGGGTCGGTCGTAGTCGGAGTCGTAGCTGTCAGAACTGGAGCTGCTGGAGGGGGAATGATGCTGAGGAAAGGGACAAAAGGAACAAAACAACAATAAAGTTTAAAAGTTACTGATATACTGTAATTTCTGGACTATTGAGCGCACCTGAATATAAGCTGCGCCCGCTAAGTTTAAAAAGCAAATGTAAAATTTTACATAAACAGGCTGCACGTGTCTATAAGCTGCAGGTATTCACGTTGTCACATGAGACATTTACAAATAAATATTTCTTTGGTTTTTTTTTAACTTTTAATTAAATGCGTACCGGTAACACACACACAAATACAGGAAATTGTTTTTTTTTTTTTTTACCAGTGCCTGTTAGACGGCTGATTAAAAAAATACAGTAATCTACCAGGAAGTCATTGATCGCTACCCCCTAAGAGAGATGTATCTTGAGCAGCTATGTGAGCGCCTGGGTGTGACGAAGCTAAATGTTTTGGTGGCACGAAGCTCGTTAGCCCATGAAAAAAAAAAAAATCCATAAATTAGCCACAACATTGTAAGCCGCGGTGTTCAAAGTGTGTGAAAAAAGTAGCAGCTTATGGTCCAGAAATTACAGTGTATTTTAAACCCTTCCCACACTCTTGCAATATTCTAAACAATGTTTCTAAACTCTAAAACTCTAAAAAAAAAACACAGAATGTCATGATTTCAGCTCCCTGCCTCCTCTGCTCTTGGCCACGCCCACTTCTCCGTGTTGCATGGTGAACAGCTGATCAGCTGCAGCAGGAAGTTTATCCTGCAGTATGGGCTGCACAAAGGCGCTAAATAATTTAAAATAATGTATTTAAAATAAAAAATCCATGCCGAGCGTGCGACTCATCCATCAATCAGCCAATTGCGTGCCACGTCCCATTTTATTTTGAAAAAAACCACGATAGAGCGAGTCCACAATAAACGAACCACAAAGTAGCAAGGGACTACTGTAATATATGTGACTGCGTATCAAGGTCTTACCCTCTGTCTGTCTCGCCTCCGTCTTTTAGACCGCCTCTTCTCTTTGATCTTCTTATATCTTTTCCTCGAGTGTCTGCGTGCCTTATCATCTTTTTCTTTGCTTTTTTCTTTCACTTTTTCCTTCTCTTTCTCGCTTTCTTCCTTCGGCTCAGCAGCCTCTTTGTTCTCCTCTTCAATTTCAATCCCCTCGTCGTCTATTTCTCCATCTTCCAGTTCTCCGTCCTCCCTGCAAGAAAAGGAAAGCCGTGCATTTGGTCAACAGAATGTCCAAAAGCAACCAGCTTTGAATTCTAGTCGCACGTCTTTGAAGTTGCAATAGATTTCAGTGAAACTCTATGAACGTTATCACTGATTGTACATCTACAACTGATGGAGAAAAAGTTTTTGCAAGACAAAAATGGCAATAACTCGGTCAATGTTACAAAACATTAGCTAAAATTTGGGCAAACAGTAGCCGAGCGTAACTCACATCTCATGAGATCACGTCTCATTTACAAGGTTTACTGTAACTCAACCCCTTCTCATAATAAAATGAACACTGGTCTCAAAGGCAGCAAGTGATGTGCCTACAAGGAATGCTAAGCCTTTACATTAAAAATGTCTCACATCTGAAACTAATATTCTCGCTCTAAACCTTTTATTGTACCAAAAGAGGAAAAAAGTGGACAATTCATGTTAAGTATTTTTCTCTCCCTCACTCTTCCTGTATAATAACCAGTTATTTACCATTTATTAGTGCTATTTCATGAACACTAGATAAAATTCAGCTTCTTGTTGGGTAAATTCAAATAAAACCTTTGCTGTTTAAAAGCTCAATTTTGTGCATAACAAAGCAGATCTAACAGCAACCTGGCTTGGCTGTGATAGACAAATTATAACAAAATAAGCAGATAAATGATCAATACTACGTCAGAACTTTAAGGAAGATGTATCTTATTTTAAAGGGGGTCTACGTGAAACAGTTGTGAACAAATAACACTTTTCAGTGCAGAAACCATTTTCGTAGCACGTCAGCTGCCTTAAAAATACACACCAGGTGGAGACTGTGGAATAGAAACAAGGTGAAATTGAAAAGTATGACTAGTGAGATGAGCGATGTGACAATGGGACATCCCTCCAACTACAGTACTGGATACAACTATGGCTCCTCTACTCGCTACTACTTTTTTTTAAATTTTTATAGTACCCTTATTAATTTCCAATGGGGAAATTAATTCTGTATTTTTCTTATCGTACATGTGAGCAAACGCGGAGCAGCTAGGGGGATGGGGGCTTTGCTCAGGGGCCCAGAGTGGAGGCAGGGCTTCACCTTACCCATCCACATGAGAGTTGAACCAGCAACCTTCCGATCACATTCTCTAGCCTCTGCGCCACCACTCCCCCATCTAATTGTGCGAACGCTAACACAAGCAGATCTTTTCACTGCGTTTTCTGGTAATACTGGTAACTACAAATCACAGCTCGCATAATAAACCACATTTTGAGTCATGAAAGAACTGCAGGTGATCGCCAACCCATTGTTTTTAACAATAACGTACGTTTGCACAATGTCACGTATGCCCAGAATACAGCGTAAACCATTAGGCTTTGACTTCCACATTCAAATCCTGCCTCAAAGACATTAAAACCGTTTTATAATGAACAAGGACACAGGCCTGGACCCTGAAGAAACCATCCCAACCCTTAATGAACTGTCTGAGCAGTACTGCCAGGTGCCCAGTAGGGGGCGTCAAGCAGCAAAGATGGGCGTGGCGTTGACGTCATTTTCATGGCATCCTGCAGAAGAGGGGGGAAAAAAACGCTCAACTATGAATCCCAGCACAACAGAACGATGAGCTCTGCTACCCTGCATGGAAATGATGAGTGTGATCGGCACGGTGATGTAAAATCCAGTCTCAAACGCACCAAAAAAAGGCATGCAAAAATAATTTCAGTATTGGGGAGGAAACCTTAGAAATGTCTGCAATTCATGAAAATAAAAGAGACAACGGTAAGCACAAGCACCCACGCCACTGAAACGCACAGATGAGCGTATTAAGAATTGCACAAGAATGTTACTCGACCTTTCATCCCCTGCAAGCTCAGAGTCTGTCATGTTTTTGTCAAGAACAGGGGCTGGGGGACTGGAAACCAGGCTCACAGAAGCCATTGGAAACACGGATCTGCCTCCCTTCTCCCCCGTACAAGAGTGAGTTAACACAAGTCACTCAAGGAGACGTTGGTCTGTGAGAGATGCTGGAAGATTTCAGGCTGGAAAAGACTCACGGTGTTACATGTCTCGACAGAGACAGTAAAAACAGACATTCTCCTCTTTCATATCAATGGCGTTTTAACCCTGTGAGCACAGCTCGACACCCCGCTTTGCTAATGTCCCGTCGGTTGACAGCTGCCATGGTGAGACAGAGGAGACGGAGGGAGAAACAGACAGAAATGTAACCATGTTCGTTGGTTTCAGCATCTTCATAGGCTTTCTCAACGGGGACATCGTCACAAAATGGCTTCTGAGTTATGCTGCACATTCCTCGACTGTGTGTGCGCCCCATATATATAGTCTCCGCTGGATCTATCTAACTTGGGACCAACAAACCCCGTTCAACGATTGGTCGACAGTCGCACGAGTAAAGAAATACGGCGATGTGATTGGCTCAAAGCAATGTCAATCTGTTTTAGCCTAAAAACAACGTCGAGGAGCATATCACACACAGCCTTTTAACGCCGAGTATTTATAATACTTTACATGTGTATTACGTAGTAATAACAACTAAAATGTAATTACCAACGCTTTGTTAGCAGCGTCGTATTAGCTAACGGTTAAAATCAAGGGCTAAAAGGTTGAAAAAAAGGGCTCTCGTGCGCATATGAATGTCACACAAACTGTACCGATCGCGCGCCTGCGCAATGCTGTTGCAGTCCAGCAGGGGTCAGTAGGTGACTGCAAATCCGCCTGAAGTATGGTAAGCAAACTTATCATTTAATAACAAAGTAGGTATAAAATCCAACATTTTTCAGTCAGGTCATCTGGACAGTTACTTTTTTTGTGCTGAAACATTTCCCCTTCGATCCGGAAGGCTTCATCAGTCAAGGAAACACACAACACAACTGATTCTTCCTCCAACAGTTTACTCCAAAGTGGAACAAAGCAGTTCTGCTTGTGATTAGATGGTCTCTTTGGTACGCCCCTGCTCCATTGCCGGCCCTCTTCCTTGTTGACAGTCTTGTCAAACAGGTTGAAAACAACAATGTCCATGCTCGTTTTTAGTTTTCAACCAGCTTGACAAGACTGTCAACAAGGAAGAGGGCCGGCAATGGAGCAGGGACGTACCAAAGAGACCATCTAATCACAAGCAGAACTGGTTTGTTCCACTTTGGAGTAAGCTGTTGGAGGAAGAATCAGTTTTGTTGTGTGTTTCCTTGATTGATGAAGCCTTCCGGATCAAAGGCGAAACGTTTCAGCACAAAAAAAGAAACTGTCCAGATGACCTGACTGAAAAATGTTAGATTATTATATAATAGTAATACAATTTCTCCAAAGATATATAAAATTCAGTCTTCTGTTACAAATAAAGTCCAGTTGTTTTTGTATTGCACGTCTTTTGAATTTATCATGTCCTGGATGACTGCGAATCTTCACCAGCATAAAGTCCAGCTATTTTTAGTAGAAGTTAGCATTTAAACAAGAATGATATCCATCTTGTTCATGATATTTAGGACGAAAGACTTCATTTTTACACTCGTTTTTATTCGGCATTTAGCTCTAGATCTACACAAAAGTACTTTTTTTCTGCCAGGATAATGTGAATATTTAAAACAGAATTCTTAGTAGAGGAGTTGCTTTTTCAAACCTGGTTCATTTGAAATATCCTAAATAAAAAATAATAAACAAGATACATCTCATATAATTTTAAAATATTATTTTAATGAATAAAATATATCATATTCCTGTCATGACTGTAGTTCAAATTATACTTTAGACATCTTTATTTGACCCATATAGCAACAATGTATAAATTGAAAACTTAGTTTATATTTTATCTTTTCACATCTGTGCGCCAATGAACAAAACTAGGTTGGTACAAAAATTGGGGGGGGGGGGGGTATCCACAGTTTTTTAGATATTTAAATATAAATTTTACAAGTAGTGATACTGATTTAGATATAGTCAATTTTAGTTCTGCTGCAGAATTCTGTTACAGACATGAAATTATGTAATTTAACTGTATGATACAACAGTCTGCCATACTTTGAAATTTTAACGCTCAACAAATGTAAAAGCTACATTTGGGATATGTCACGTTTTTCAATTTATGTAAAAAATTAAATTTTAACATTAGAAAAATGTGTTGTATTTAAATAAAAGCGAACGGGGCTTTAGGCAGCCTTTGAGCAGTGGGAGGGATTTTTGGCTGCAGGAAACCAGTCTGCAGAGCTGAAACTTTCCAACAGCGCAGAAAGAGGCTGGAGCGCATCTCTGGTTCGGACACCTGATGTCCACCGTCCTCAATCTTCACAAGAGCGGAGCTTAAAACATTGTTTTATGGCAACAAACCTCTTAAGGAGCTTAAGAACAGAAACCTAAATATCTGAGCATCTCAACAGGGAGCAGTCGTCCTGGACTTTCAGAAATGGATCAGTGTTTTCCGCGCAGGTGTCTGATCTTGTTGTGTTTGACAGCAGTTCAGGGTGGTCAAACCACTGTTCAGGTAAGAACAAATTATACACTTTTTTTTTATCTGAATGAATTGACTTAGAGGGTATAGAATCTGCTTTAAAAAACAGGTTTTTATGTAGGTAATTTAACATGTGTCGTTTGACCATTTAATCTCAGTTCAGTTTCTACATTTGTCTTAAAGTTTCTTTGTTTTTCCTTTTTATTTTATGATCAGGGGCACAACAAAGAGGGGGCCACAAGGGGCAATGACCACCAGTAAAAATTTGCTGTCACAGGACATTCAATGCCCATAGTTTTTAAAATATATATGAATTACGATTGTTAAATTGAAGCTTTGGTGAGTTGAATAGTGGCTGTTCTTTACTCAATAATATAACAGAATATAGATGCATTAGAAGGAGGTTTTATAAAACAACATGTTATATATCTAAAAAAGTTAAATCTGGTCCTCTGGACATTCAAAAAAACCCAAAACAAAGAAAAACAACAAAAAATGTAGAAACGTTTCGTCTCTCGTCCGAGAGACTTCCTCAGTCTGAGGAGCTGTTTTCAGCTCAGTCTCTTAAATAGCACCTTCTCAGAGTGGATCAACCAGTTTGCTGCTGACAACCAAAACCAGCTGATCACATGCTCAAGAAGGACCATCAGCCTAACAATTGAGCATGCATCAGGATAACATGTTATATAGCTTTTGGTTTTGATGTTCCAGTCAGAGGGGCCTGTATGGACACGTACTGAAAGTTTCCTGGTGGTGCCCAAGATGTTTAATCTATAGTGATCGAAATGAAATCAAATAAAAACATAACATCTGGATTTACAGTGCCTTGCAAAAGTATTCGGCCCCCTTGAACTTTTCCACCTTTTGCCTCATTTCAGGCTTCAAACATAAAGAGATAAAATTTTAAATTTTTGTGAAGAATCAACAACAAGTGGGAAACAATCGTGAAGTGGAATGAAATTTATTGGATGTGTCAAACTTTTTTAACAAATAAAAAACTGAAAAGTGGGGCGTGCAATATTATTCGGCCCCCTTGCGTTAATACTTTGTAGCTCCGCCTTTTGCTGCAGTTCCAGCTGCAAGTCTCTTGGGGTTTGTCTCTATCAGTTTTGCACATGGAGACACTGAAATTCTTGCCCATTCTTTCTTGCAAAACAGCTCGAGCTCAGTGAGGTTGGATGGAGAGCGTTTGTGAACAGCAGTCTTCAGCTCTTTCCACAGACTCTCGATTGGATTCAGGTCTGGACTTAGACTTGGCCATTCCAACACCTGGATATGTTTATTTGTGAACCATTCCATTGTAGATTTGGCTTTATGTTTTGGATCATTGTCTTGTTGGAAGATAAATCCCTGTCTCAGTCTCGGGTCTCTTGCAGACTCAAACAGGTTTTCTTCCAGAATGGTCCTGTGTTTGGCCCCATCCATCTTCCCATCAACTCTGACCATCTTCCCTGTCCCGCTGATGAAAAGCAGGCCCAAACCATGATGCTGCCACCACCATGTTTGACAGTGGGGATGGTGTGTTCAGGGTGATGAGCAGTGTTGCTTTTACGCCAAACATATCGTTTTGCATTGTGGCCAAACAGTTCGATTTTGGTTTTGTGTGACCAGAGCACCTTCTTCCACGTGTTTGGTGTGTCTCCCAGGTGACAAACTTTAAACAACACTTTTTATGGATATCTTTGAGAAATGACTTTCTTCTTGCCACTCTTCCATAAAGGCCAGATTTGTGCAGTGTACGACTGATTGTTGTCCTATGAACAGACTCTCCCACCTCAGCTGTAGATCTCTGCAGTTCATCCAGAGTGATCATGGGCCTCTTGGCTGCATCTCTGATCAGTCTTCTCCTTGTTCCAGATGAAAGTTTAGAGGGACGGCCGGGTCTTGGTAGATTTGCAGTGGTCGGATACTCCTTCCATTTCAATATGATTGCTTGCACTGTGCTCCTTGGGATGTTTAAACTTGGGAAATCTTTTTGTATCCAAATCCGGCTTTAAACTTCTCCACAACAGTATCTCGGACCTGCCTGGTGTGTTCCTTGGTCTTCATGATGCTCTCTGCACCTTGAACAGAACCCTGAGACTATCACAGAGCAGGTGCATTTATACAGAGACTTGATTACACACAGGTGGATTCTATTTATCACCATCAGTCATTTGGGACAACATTGGATCATTCATAGATCCTCACTGAACTTCTGGAGTGAGTTTGCTGCACTGAAAGTAAAGGGGACCAATAATATTGCACGCCCCTCTTTTCAGTTTTTTATTTGTTAAAAAGTTTGACACATCCATTAAATTTCATTCCACTTCACGATTGTGTCTCACTTGTTGTTGATTCTTCACAAAAAATAAAAAATTTATATCTTTATGTTTGAAGCCTGAAATGTGGCAAAAGGTTGAAAAGTTCAAGGGGGCCGAATACTTTCGCAAGGCACTGTAAATCCTCCCATGTCAGCTGGTGGCGTTTTGTCTTTGCCCTGAGCAGGTAAAGCACATCCAGTCCTGCCGCTTCACTTCAAATGTTCTGTAGCTTGTGATTGTACTGAGCCTTCCATACGCAGGCAGAGGAATTTAAGGTATGCCGTGCAGAGAAATCGCTCCAATAAGCATGTGATTAATAAACTCTTCTGAAAGGATCGGAGACTCTTTCTCAGAGGGACTCTGTAATGATCTGGAACAGACATTTTCCCTGAAGTTACTGCCACTGGCAACCGTGCTGTTTTGAGTGCACTCGTACCCAGAGTGCATTTCTATAGCCACGCAAAAACATGCAGAGGAACAGCGTTTTGGGCTGAGGTTCCTTTGACATCTGCCTGACAGCTGTATGTCACATAGACTAATAAAGTGAAACAGATCACAGTTAAATCTAGTAAAAACTCTCCAATAAGTTTTTCATTGCTACAAAAAACTCTTTGTAACCATAACGACTGTGTGCCCACCAATAACATGAATGACATCATTCTCCACTGCTGTATAATGTTTTGCTACCATTAAACTGAGGTGACCTCCTGTCCAACTCTTTTTTTTCCCCTCACTGGAAACTCAAAGCATTTGGGAAAAAGCTTTATTTTAATTATTTTTAAGTGTTAACTCAGCTCATGCTTCCCTATAACAGACATGCATGGATAAGCACCAGGTGGTCGGCTTGCTGCGTCAGATGGAGAAGTTCCTGAAAGGCCAGGAGATCCGGTTCACCGAGGGCCTCCGGATCATGAAGTCAAAGCTGGCATCACTTCAGAACTCTGTGTCCAAGTTACCTCAAGCTGACCAGTCAGCAGGTGAGGTGGTATCATTGTCCACATTACCTCTGATCCAGATGTTTTGACATATTGCAGCATAAAAAGTCAAGTTGACAACATTTACAACTCAGTTACAGACAGGTATCAGTCTGTGGGACAAAATGCAACGTGAATGCTGAGAGCAAGCTAAACAGAAGCTAAAACCTTAAATTAAATCTGAAAGTAGCTAAACCGTGACTTAAAACTAAAATTGGCAAATTTGTTGGTTAAAGCAAAAATTCAGAGGGGAAAGTAGCTAAAAACTAACAATAGCCAACCAAAAGTAAAATCTAATATTATTCAAACTATAGCTAAACCTAATATGAGCTAAACTATAGCTAAAAGCAGAATGTACCAAAAGTGTAGTTGAAAGTTACAATGAGTTATAATTAAAAGATAAAAAGCAGCAAAAATGCAAATAAAAGTTCAAATTAAATCATAAATAAAAAATTACCAAAACTGTGGCTAAAAGCTAAATGTAGCCAAATTAAAGCTAAAATACCAAAACAATACGTAAAAGGTAAAGCAGTTTCTTAAAAGTACAACTGGCAAAATAGTGGCTAAACAAACTATAGATAAAAGGTAAAACTAGCAAATCCTTAAACTAAATCTGAAAGTAGCTAAACCATGACTTAAAATTAAAATGAGCAAACTTGTTGGTAAACGCAAACATTCAGGGGGGGGAAAGTAGCTAAACGCTAATGTAGTGAACCTGATCTGACCCTGATCTGACCCTGATGACCTCAAATCTATCAGATGGACAGAGACTGTTATTTTCATTGATCTGAATACAGTCTGAGCCATCTGGTGACTTTCTTTCTTGAATTAATCAAGCAGAAAAGACAATTCTCTATAATCATTTACTGTTTTACAAATTTTTGATAATCAAATTGTGTTAGTTCCATTCAATGCTTACAGGTTGGAAAGAACTACTCATTTTATTTTACATAAGCAGTAAGTAATGATTTTTATTCCTCATTCAAAGAAGAAATCAGGTTAATATGCATTTCTTGATTTTCTGTCTGAAATGAGCCAAGCAACGTAAGTATGTGAAAGTTGAAGCTTCGGTCAACTAAATGTTTACTGAAAAAGAAATGTCATGTTTAATCTTTACAGAAGATACAGAAAAGTTGACTCCATGAAGTCTGCTTTTCTGCAATAATCTCTCTGTCAGTTGTTAAACAAACTCATTCTCTGACCTCGACTTTTGATAACACCTTACGTCAAAAAACACACCTCTTTCTGGTCCATCGACCAATCAAAAGCTCTCAAATGAACCGGAAGTCGACTCATTTAAAATGTGGCAACTTCCCAGTTCATGTTAGAGTCTGGAGTCTGATAGTTCCAGAGGCTGAGGAGATGAAGAACTAGAGAGTTGCTGGAGTTGAAAGATTCTGTTAGAGTCTGAGAAGTTCTGAAGAATGAAAGGAGTTCATGGTTCTTGGGTGCAAACGCATTCAGGATGATCCAGAGACGTTTTGGGATTATAATTTCTGTTTGAAAACCACGTACGACTCCCCGAGGGTTTGGTAGTTCTCACGGAGACGCTGAAAAGAGTCAGAAAGGAACCTACACCGACGCTGAGTTCATCATCAAGGTAGATGGTTCTATTTTCGACCAAGTGTACCGTGGGCAAGCTGATATCTGATGGAGCGTGCAATTTCTGGTCAAACAGATTAATTCCCTCACATATTTCTCTGTAAGATAAATCTCCATTTCATCTTAAAACTCTCCTCTTTCTCATAAAATCAGTACAGATATTTTAGAAATATCTGAAGCAAAGTCCTCGATCACCGCCGAGTGATCGATGCTCATTTCTTGTGAAACTTGTCTGTTATTATTTTCATATTTTGCCAAATTAATGTAAATGTTTGATGTTAAACTTTGATTCTGAAAATAAATGACCGCATTGATTTGATGGGTCAAAGATAAATAACGTCTCTCGTTACATTTCTGTTAAATTCAATGCACGACATTACACAGTCAGAAAGATGAGGAACTCGTGAAAAAGTATGCATATATATCTCATATATTGTCTTACTACACTAACAATAGCAAACCAAAAGTAAAACCTAAAGTTGTCCAAACTATAGCTAAAGAACCTAATATGAGCTAAACCATAGCTAAAAGCAGAATGTACCAAAAGTGTAGCTA